AGCGAATCGACTTCCTTGCGGATCTCTTCTCGTATGTTGGGAAGAAACTCCTTTGCCCAAAGCTCTTTCAAACTTCTCACCGTTAGACTCATGCTATCTCCATCTGCGACGGGTGAACAGCAGGCTTCGTTATTTCATCCACCGAGTTCGCCTCCCAAACAATACATATCTCATTTTACTACTTAAAAATTGGGTAAATTCTGTAAAATTCAACTAAAAATTTAACCAGATTCATGATTTTAAATATTTTCTTCCACGAACGTTGTTATTATATTGCAGGCTTAATGCTGTAACATCAATCTGCCATCAATCTGAGGTAAAACGAGAGCCTTGACAAAATCCAAAGAGGTCAAGATTCGTAAAGCAGCATCCTTTATTGATAAAATCTCTTAAGTGCGATGGCCTCCACCCCAGGTTTCGATGAAATTGACTCAACGCCATACAAAAACATTCCACGCATCGCGCGGCTCTTAGTAGGTGAAGATATCAAAGATATCAGTAAGGAGCTAGAGCAGATGACTCAGTTCCAAGAAGGAGTTGGAAACGTGAGCCTAGAAAGTTTGCCAAGAGAATCAATCGAAGAAACGCTAGCGGAAATAACAGAGCTTCAAAAAGAAGATGGAGGTAAGATGGAATGATGTTATGACTAGTATAACGGAGGTATGTATACAATAATTTCATGATGCCAATTAATTGGTGTTCCTGTCTCAGTTCGGAATTTAAAATTTCCATGTTTAAAAAAACCCATTTTCACACCCAATTTCTAGATTTTAATCTTATTCAATTCTGCTCTTAAAGAAATTTAGAGACACACCGCACCGAAAAGACAACCTTGATTGATGAGATCATAGGTAGTCAGAAATGTTATCAAAATCACCTGAGTCTAGGATAATCAGGAAACGCAGTGAATACTTCCTCATTACTTAGTTGAGCTAATTGGATCCCACGATCTCTGGAGATTCGGATACTTTACAGATCGAGGAAAAAGGTTTCTTTTTTCTCTTTTTGAAGGTTACGACTAAACTCCTGTAGTTGTCCTTTTCTTTCTTGTTTTTTCTTGATTTTTTTTCCCATTATTTTTGTTCATTGCAGAAAATTTTAATCTATTTTACAATACAATAGTCAATAATAATATAGACGATAATCAAACCAAAGCCTTATAAATTTTTTGGAAGTGAACGTTTCACCTCTGGCAAGTTCTAGAGGCTTCTCTGGGATCAACCCCAGCTGGTTCTGTGATGTTGTTAATTCTGTAGATAATTTGGATATATCAACAAAGTTAATTCTGTAGAGGCTGACAGATCTAATTTTTTTAACAGTTCACCTTCGCCTATATATCCAATGGCTGTACTTCTCTGAACGCAGTCTGCTAAGAGGTAAAGAAGAAACGATCCCTGAAGATGACAAATCTATCCCGGAGAAGGTCCACAGCCTTGAGGAGAAAGGGAGAAATCTTGAGGAAAATCTAGGATGGACGATGGACCTCTTAGAAGATGACAAATCTATCCCGGAGAAGGTCCACAGCCTTGAGGAGAAAGGGAGAAATCTTGAGGAAAATCTAGGATGGACGATGGCCCTCTTAGAAATTACTGAAGGTTAGTTAAAAACAATCAATGTCGACACTTGTTAAAAAATTTTTTGGGATAATAGCATCTCTTCCATAATTACTACACACAATTGCAAAGCACTTTTTACAAATAAATGATACTTTGGTCTGCATCGCAGAAAAAAAATCTGATGTAGATATCGAACTTGGACGAGTATCAAACCCGTGCCTTTCAGATGTCAGTTGGTTGCTGTTACTGAGTGAGCTACGAGTTTACATGTTGAGACTAGCTGG